AACGATTCACGCACTTTACTTACTACTGCGCTTGACTCAACTGTCCATCTCTATCTGTCTGCAACTATTCATATCTATGCTATCACTTTTCGCCGGTCTTTTATATACGAAATAGAGGGTGTCTGGAGAACACTCGAGCCTTCACGAACGTTCTAGATACTCATTATGTGTTACCAGCATCATGTGAATTCCGCTGTTGTAACAATATAAAAGGTTATTCTAGTTAAGAATATATAAAAATACAATTTTCGAAGCATGTGACAAGATTGTTTCACTTTCAAATTCAATGTTTGTTTTTTTATATTTTCAAGGGCATGAAATTTTTTTTTTCAAATAATGGTGCCACAGTAAAGTGGTGATAGCGACTGAAACTTGATTAGCTAAGAAATACTTTAATGATTCTTGTTTTGTTGAACATTTTTTACTGTGGTTGAAGTTTTTGTGGGTATTTGAGCAAATACAGTTCAATTTATAATACTGTGTTTTTGGATTTCCATTATTTGTTGAGATTTAGACATCAATGGGATAAATGGCTATACTCGAAGGAATCTAGTTTTAAAAAAAACAATGAAAATAAAGTCAACTGGAAAAAAGACAATGACATGAACAGGTAAAGTAATAAAAGAATATTTTGGTAAACATCATCAATAACAACTAAGCCAATTATTGAAACAATGTAAACCAATTGAGTGAATAATTAAGCTGTTATTAATACACTTTTCTAATCAATGACTTCCCATTATTGTTCAACACTAGCTATTAAACCCTACTGTTCTGTTTGTCCTTTTTTGTAATTTTCTTTGTCTTACAGGGTATACCCACATATGTGATGCTAGAAAGTAAAATGCTTATTATTATTACACATGAATGAAAGGACTTTAATCTGTCAGGTAAACATGATGGTGTGAATCAGTACAATGTTAAAGCAGTTATTAGAGTTTGTAAATGTGATCATTAGTGAAATAAAGTTCAGTAACTTCTATTAAAATTCAAAGTTTAACTTTCCATTAAACCTTAACTTTATAACTCATTTCAAATTTCTAACTTTGCAGGTTTATTACTTGGCTTATTACATTTCTTTATCGCTTGTAGGGTATGTTGAAATTACTAAAAAATGGATAGTTATACCTCAAAAATATTTGTTGAATGAAGAGGTAACAGATGTTTTGACATATTATTTAACCAATTGTAACTATTGTACATTTAAACCTTTTCTTTATACTCAAAAGGATAACAAGAAAAGCGTGGGGTTTATAAATAGGTTGTTGGAACCATAAGAAAAAAAAACAACTAAAATATAATGCTAATATATAACACTTATGTGACTGCACAAAAATTCAGGCATTATGTTTATTTCTGGTCATCCCAAAATATAAATCACTTGGTTCAAAATTGAGTTAATAAACTGATTTAATGCTCATATAGAAAAATTTCTCACATGCTAAAATTTCAGTGATAACATATTTTAAGTTTTAATAATGAACTAACTACACTTACAAATAATTTATTCGATTATAAATATTTTGAATTAACAATACGGTCACACAAATTAATGGTTTTTCTTTTCATAAACATAGTTTTTAATTGAAATTTGGGAGATTAAATGATGTTCTTAATGGTCAAATTCTTATAAGTAATTTGGTATATATATTTTTATGAAGAATAATAGAGTTTATGGAATGTTTTACCTTTAATTTTATTTAATTTAAACCTTTATTGAACAGATATGTGACATCTGAAGGGCTATATTTAAGTTTGATTTTGTATCTTTGGTTGGTTGATTCCATGGGAGGTGATGGTGTATAATTGAAGAGATGAACTATCTTGTATGACATTTGAATACTAGTATGCAGTTATACACAACTCGTGACCATACAGAATTTGAGATTGTTTCGCACTTCTCGTCTTTATGTTTTTGGAATACGTTTCAAGATATTTTCACTTCATTGTTTTGTGGTTACTGACAACTTTCACCAACTTACACATGATGTTAAGTTCTCATTTTATAACTGCATATTTATTATCACTATTATATTAATTTATGAATTATTAATTTAGGGATAGTAAAACAAATTACTTACTAACCTAATGGATAATATGTTATCTAAGCTGTTCACAGACTACTTAAAATGAAACTGACTTTTTCTGTTGTAAATGTCGACATTTATCATTTTACTGGTATAGAAATATCTGAAACATTTATATACTTGGTATCCTTTATGAGTAAATCCAAAGTGCAATTGAAAGTTTACAGCTAGATATCAAAAAAATGTTTAAGTTCTGTACAAATATAATCAGTTGTATTTGAAATTTTATGAATTAGTACATTTCTTTTTAATTCTAAGTTATTGATTCTAATAATTTGTAGTTAAACAAATAATGGTAGTTTATCTGTAAAATTTTTGAGAGAAAGATTTTATGTTAACACAAATTCATCAAATTGCAATGTTAATATATTACTATTAATCTGACACTGTATTTAAAAAAAACGAAAGATAGAACAAGATGACAGAAAGTCATTCAGCTCATTAAGATCATCTCTTTATATTAAAAAAGGTAAATACATATGTTAGAAATGATTGATTGAAAAGTTAAACAAATAGTACATCAATATCAGCAAGCTAATTCATATACTTATATGTCAAATAGAGAAACAATACACATAACTACAAAACTATACTTAAAACTTTTAAAGTTTCTTCATTTTTGTTACTTCTATTTTAAGTCCTGATCTTGAACACTTATAATTTTATAATTTCCACAACTCAAACATGCCTACTATTAGGCAGTTTCTCTTAGCTCCCAACATTTTCAGTACTTGAACCAAATAGACTTTAGTTGTTGTAAACTTCATTAAAAATAAAATTTAAGCTTTAAACCTGTTAAATAGTTCAACTTTCTGAAATCCTGTATCGTTCTCTGCACTTTCACCAGCATGTCTACATCCATCAGATAAGGGGCCCAAAATTAAGTGTAATATTTAAAAAAAAAGAAAAAAAAGGCTTAACTGAAGTCTCAAACAAGGAGACAATAAACTATGATAATGAAAACAAAAATTTGGTTTATTAAACTACCATATCTTTTTCTTTAATTCTGTTAGGAACATGAAATGAGTTAGAATTTTGATTGACTTTTCATGAATGTTTACCAAAGTTTAAGTTTTTCTTCTTTTTATGAAGAGCAAGCCTTAAACTTTTTTTTATTTATCTTATTGATGCCCTCTCTGTTTGGTTTGTTTTGAATTTTGCACAAAAGTACACAAAAGCTATCTGTTCTTAATTTATTAGTGATAGACTAGAGGGAAGGCAACTAGTCAACATCACCCACTGCTAACTCTTGAGCTACTTTTTTACCAATGAATAAGTGGATTAACCATCACATTATAAAGCTACCAACTGAATGGGAAAGCATGTTTGGTGATGGTATTCGAGCTTGTGACCTGAAGATTGCAAGTCTAACATCCTAACCACCAGAGTATGCCAGTCCCTGCCCTTTCTGTCTCTCTCTCTTTACTTATTCATATACACAATACCAATCAATAGATATTTTCCAAGCAACAAAAGGCAATACTCTCAGAAAAAAGTTAATATTCAAAACTGTTAACTTTTCTATTTATAACTTGTGTACTTTTTTCACTTTCAGCATTTTTATCTAATGATTAAATACAAAACTTTTACATTTAAACTGCTCCTCATCATGCACAAAGTACTATTCCATTTCTTAAATAATTGAACTATTTTAAAATGAGAATTGCTGTACAGTTGGTATTACAAATATTTTTTTCAATGATCTTATCAAAACAATATTTTACAGTAATGATTGCTCTACAAATACAACTTGATGAGTTCATCACTTACAGCAGAAGGTGTAAGCACCCCTAAATCAGTAAACAATAAGCTTATGTAGGAGGGTGGAGTGTAATCAACAAATGGGTGGTTTGTCTGATTGATATCCTCAGGGATTTGAGACTCACTTAATAAATATTTAAAGTTGTTTGGTATATCTTCTTGATTGAGTGGATATAAACGTACAAATTTAAAGCTTTCTGCTAACACATAGAATGGTTTGTTTATTTCTCTTGCACAAACAGCCATGGGGTAGGTACCAATTTTATTGATGATCCCACCACTTTCAACAACTCCTTCTGCACCGACAAGTACAACATCAACTTTCTCCATTATATATCCAATTGCAGCGTCCAAAATTACTGTACAAACTATACCTTTCTTTCCTAGCTGCTCACACATTTTATGTCCAGCATTGTCAGGACAAGATTCTGTCACATACACTTGAAACCTCTTTTTTGCCTTAGCAGCTTCTAATAAAGTATCAAGTACAACACGAGAATATGAATGGGTAAGGATAATTGAACCATCTAATATAAAAGGATGGCCCAGCTTTGCGATTTTGGGCCTTGCGAAACCTAACTTCTCAAGAAACTGCTTTCCTCTGTTAGAAAGAACCTCTTTACATTCCCTAAAGTCCTTGTGATCTAAAACAGTGAGCGTTATAAAACGAAGAAACAGCTCGAAGGCAGAACGTATAGAAATACTCGAGGACACTTGGGAGAATTTTATTAACGTGTCATTAGCTTTCACTAGATTTTCTCGCAAGCCTGTTACCGTTTCTGACGTATCTTCTTCCATCACCGTCATTAATGTATGTAATGCAGCAACAGCAGCCGATAAAGATGGATCTTGTTTCAAAAAATTTTCAAAACAATCAACTAACTTTTCGGTACCCATCTTCTTCCGAAATATTAATAAAAGAATATGTAAAAGCGAATACTTTTCAGCGTCGCCCTAAAACTAGTTCAAATTATAAGGCTTAGACAAAATCACATGTACACGTATTCTTAGTGTAATGAAACTACGTCAGAAGGTGCTGCCCTCTATTATAAACTGTTAACTGAAAGCTCAGAATTTAGATGCAAATAAATATATTTGACTAGATATCAATGTAGGTTTAGAACATGGATAACAAGTGTATATTAAAACATAAACTTCGAGTTTTGTTTTATTTTTCACAAGCTTTTCTGTTACAATTTCAACAGCCGTTTTCAGCAATTAGAAATAGAACAAAAATATCAAAATGTTTAGAACCTATGAAAGTAACACCTTAATAGGGTGACGATTATTATATCATATTGTTACGTATCTGCTCGTTTGATAATTTCCCGTAAAAATTCTTTCCGAGAAACTTCAGCGATACAAGTCCTTTCTTAATTAAAACTAGTTTATTCTTTCTCGTTACATGAAACTACGTCAGAAGGTGCTGCCCTCTATTATAACTGTTAACTGAAAGTTCAGAATTTAGATGCAAATAAATATATTTGACTAGATATCAATGTAGGTTTATAACATGGGTAAAAAATGTATATTAAAATATAAACTTCGAGTTTTGTTTTATTTTTCACAAGCTTTTCTGTTACAATTTCAACAGCCGTTTTTAGCAATTAGAAATGGAACAAAAATATCAAAATGTTTAGAACCTATGAAAGTAACACCTTAATAGGTTGACGATTATTATATCATATTGTTACGTATCTGCTCGTTTGATAATTTCCCGTAAAAATTCTTTCCGAGAAACCTCAGCGATACAAGTTCTTTCTTTATTAAAACTAGTTTATTCTTTCTCGTTACAAACTTTGTAATACACTTAATTTCCACAGTCACTTTAAGTTAAACACACGCTATAATTCACAACGATTCACGCACTTTACTTACGGTCACTACCGCTCACTTGTCTCAATTATCTGTCTCTACCTCTCTATCTGCTATCCAATTCCGATTAATTGCCTTGCTTTATCTGGCGCGATTATATACAGGAATAGAGGGCGTCTAGCAAATACCGGATATTTGTGATGTTCCCCGATCCTTCTAGAAACTCATCACGTGTTACCAGTGTCACGTGACTTCCGCTGTCTTAACAATATCAATACTGTGACAGCAATAAGTGGTATTTGTCTGTTTCATTGATTTTTAGAAAGCATTTGATAGAGTAAGTTGGAATAACTTCTTCAATGTATTTAGAATGATCAAAGTGGGCTGGAGAGATCGAAAGCTCTTTGTGACTTTGTAAATGGCTAGACAGCAATAGTGGGAATAGCTGAAGGTGAATCAGGTGATGCAATACTCGGTAGATATAAAAGGCAGGGTTCATAATATCACCAACACTTTTCAATGTCTACGTAGAGGGAATCATAAAAGAAGCATGAGAAAATCTGACTGAAGTAATAATGATTGGAGAACAAATAGTGGGATCCGTCAGATTTGTAGATGACAAGGCAGCGCTAGCTAACTCAGAAGAATTTTTAGTTACGAAACTAAATGAAAAAGCAGAACAATGATTTCTTTGTTTAGAATTTTCGCGCAAAGCTACACAAAGGCAATCTGCTCTAGCTGTTCTTAATTTTTGAACTGATAGGCTCGAATGAAGTAAATTTGTCAACAACATCTACCTCCAACTCTTGTTGATTGAATACGTGGCTGTCACCATTATAATGCATCCATGTATCCAAAGTTAGGAGGGAATTTTGTTTTTTTCTGTAACGGCAAGCGAACATGGACCTCAAATTCATAGTCCTGTACATTGATTAGTGAGCCATGGTCGGCCCACTGTGACAACTAATCAACTTTAAAACAACGATATTTTTACGTACTAATATCAGAGGCGTCGGACCGGGGATGCCGGAGGTGCTGTAGCACCCCCACTTTTACATATTTGATTTATATTGCAACTGTAAGTTATATTATTGTAAAATCTGCCAAGCACCCCTATTTTACAATTCCTTCCTACACCACTGCTCTATATATTACCACCTGTTGAGCATGTTCGGATAAATAATTAAAAATTCGTTTTTCTTATTCAAAATAAAGGTCCCTCGCCCCTTAAATTAAGAGGTGTCTATATATCGTTTAACTTCGATTCTGCCGTGAGCTTTGTTTAGGCCTTTATCAGAGTTACTTCCATATGCCTCGATTAAAATTGATTCTATAATGGTCTTTTCCTTTGGGCAGCCATTATCTTGTCCGGATATTTGGATGCTTTCTCAAGTAATATATTGACCAATGCAACAAGCACGGTTAACAGATATTTCGGTGTTACATGTTTTTCTGCTGTAATGTCTACTAATCCTTTTGTCTTCCCAGTGCACTTCATCTAGTATGAACATGTAATGCTCATAGTTAAATATTATATACATATATATTAAATAGCATGTTTCAGAATGTTTTGATTGTTTTGAAGCCTATTCTGATCTTTATTCCGTAATGTAGGGTGTGAGAGAGAACAGCTTGTGCATATATGGATTACAATCCGGAAGTGAAGAAAGTTGGTTGCTTCGAACCTGTTTTTTATGGGTGAGTTGAATAATTCCTTTTCTATGTTTTTCATTATTATTATTTGAATTGGATATTCTATTACTTTTGGGCCCCCAGTGGCACAGCGGTATGTCTGCGGACTTACAATGCTAGAATTCGGGTTACGATACCCGTGGTGGGCAGAGCACAGATAGCCCATTGTATAGCTTTGTGCTTAACTACAAACAAACAAACTATTACTTTTGATAATTTGTAAAGCGATTTTGGTTCTGATTCTAGATATCTATCTCTCACGGTTCCTATGGCCTTATCCGTAGGAGTTTTCATGAAACCTATTTAAGTAGCTTATTCTAGGAGGCAGAAGAAATGCTCCTGGTCAAATATCTGAAGTTTTCCGATTGATAAGCGTTATAATAACCACAGTTATAGCTTCCGAAGTTTATAGTACACTGACTATAGCAAACTAATAATAGCTACTCTTTTTTGGCGCGTTGGTTATATTTATAGGCGTGTGGAGGCTTTCTAGAAAATTCAGATTACATAACAATACAAAGCTACATTTAAGCATTTACGTACATACATCTATTGTTGATTCTTAGTCTCGAGAATCTTCTACAACTTTGGAGAATAGGTGGGAGTTTTGCAATACATAGTGAACGCTATAAGCTATGCATGTTTTTAAATATAAGCTTAAGGTAAACAAACTTTGATATTAAAATAAATATATAATAATAAATTCGTTACAATATACATTTTACGTTATTTTATTTCGTGTATTTATTTCGTGTGCTTTAAATTAAAGATCAAACCAAATACACCTCTTTCTGCATCCGCCCAAGGAATCCAATCTAAGCCACCATTTACTATTAAATACGGAATGGAACCTATTTGGTTTACACCTGTAATTACTATTGCTTGCCATCTGTGATTGAAGTACCTTTATAGAGTACTCCAACCATGTCACTACCAAATTAAGTTCCAGAATGTAGCTGGGCAAGTCATCTAATCGAGAAAGCAGTGAATTATGATGGAAAAGTACCATGGGAGGTATATCAGGCTCAATTCGAAATATCTTTTAGGGTGAATGGTCGGAGTAGAGTAGTGAACAACAAGCTATTCACCTTGCAGCCCATTTAAGAGAACCAGCTTTAAAAACACTAAGCAACCTTTCAACTGAGAGCCTTAACAACTATCAATCATTATTAGCTGCTTTTTCCAACAAGTTCAGATGTTTTCAGAGCAAAGTTTCGGAACAATATACGAATTAAAGAAGAAACCTTAGCTGAACTTAATAGAAAATTTTGAAAGGCTTGTTTCGTTATCTCACTCAGATCTTCACGTGAAATGATGAATTATTTGACACTGATCAATTTATAGATGCTAAAACAGGCTAGAATATGAGAATTAGACTGAAGCAAGATAGGTGTACATCTTTAAAGGAAGCTCTCCTGTTTAAATTGGAACTAAGATCCATTGAAGTCACAGATAAACAACTAAAGGTACCATCTAGAAATTAGGGATCATCAGATAGAGTAGTATTGAAACACCAACTCTCCCTAATGATAGTCTATAAGAACTAAAAGTGTGGAGAAAATAAACCACAAGACATAATGTGTTTTAACTGTAACTTGAAAAGTTTTATTGTCTGAAACTGCAGACAAAAGCCTGAAGGGATTGAAAACTTCCGCTCCAATGATATCGAAAAAAAAGAACTGTTATAGATGCTGGGACTTGATCATTACATCCGAGATTGTGAGGAATCAACAGTTGTTAAAAAGCCAAAGAGAAAATACCCTAGATATGAGTTTTCGAGCCCAACCAGACCGAATGAACAACAAAGAGCTAAGAAGACGTTGGAAAAACAGGAATTAGCTGGATTTGTAGGGCAACGTTCACCTGGAAATACTCCATCTGCTCCAAAAGACATAAGAAGTTCCATTATTTGAGGAAAAACATCCATGAGTCCATTGCTTTACTGAAGGAATTATCTTGTTTTATATTGATTAACACAGATTCTACACCTACAATCGTTCGACTCAGTTTGGTAATGAAAGTTGATAAATTGCCCATATAGATAAAGAAAGAAGAGGGATTGATGTAAACATCAGGTGGATATAAAATTCCAGCAAGAGGAAAGCTGGAAGTAGCTTTTACTGCAGGAAGCTTCTCTACACCTCATTATGTGTGAGCAGTTTATATCGAAGAAGAGTAGATATTGGGAACTGGCTTTATGCAGAGACGAGAATGCTAGGCTAGGCTATTTTCAAATAGTTTCACATTCTGTGACCAAGAAATCTCTGTGCATCATGTGGTAATTACTCCACCAAAGGTTTAATTTCCAGTGACAACGAAGAAGGAGGTCATTGTATCACCAAGAATTGAAATATTTATACCAGGACGTTTTAGGAATAAATCTACATCTAGTTATTGGTAAAACCAACTTCTCTGGCATATTCTGGAAGATTGATGGCTGGAAGACCTCTCGTGGATTTGAAGAATAGAGATTCATGGTGTGGCTTGCAGAA